CCCAGGGGCCAATTCTAATTCCAGTCTTCTGCTCAGACTTGCCCCACATTTCTGCTTTTTCTCAGACTTTAACTTCACTCTGTGATTGTTGATCTTCCTCCCCCCCCCCTCACCTGTTCTCCCACACAGATCTGGTCTCTGTCTTCTTCCTTCGACCCCCACCCTCACCCCCACCCTCACCCCCACCCCTCACCCCCACCACACCCAGAAAAAGGAAGCTTTACAGTTTAGCTTCTTTAAAATTATCTTTAATTCTTTCCTTGTTCCCGAGTTGTTTTTTTTAAAGTGTTAACATCATCTGTGACCTCTGTGACCTCTGTGACCTCTGTGACCTCCTACTAAACTCTCTGTTTGTCCCTGTCCAGACGACTCATGCTGAAAAGCACATGGTAACATTTGATGTTCATGTTATTATGGTCTGGTGTTGGACTGTTGTCATGAAGAGTATCTCCACTGCCGACTGTCCTGCACTGCCCCCTGTGGGTGGATTATGACCTGGAAATTCTTCTTTTAAACCAAGTCACTTGAACATGTTCTAGTTCTAGTTCTAGAAAACTCTACTTTTATATCAAATATTTATTTATAAATCTTTTTATCAAGTTCAATCAAATCAGACGGTGTTTTTCTGCTGGGGTTTTGTTGTAACGTTAAACTCTCCCAGCAGTAGGGGGCAGTGCAAACAGTTTTTATTATCTGGCTGCAGTCACTCTTTGTTTCATCAAGTGTTTGTTTGTTGTTGGCTGTTGTCCTGCTGTGTTCCCCTCAGTGATGTCACCTTCACTCTGTGATGTCATACCATAACCTGGTCATCACACCAAGGAAATCAAAGATGAAAACTTTGGTTTTGGTTTTTGACTCTGAGCCATCGTTTAAAAACTATTCAAAAAGACTCGTTACTTGTTACAACTTGAATATTCCTGAACACTCACTGTATGACATCACAGACGGAGTCGATGCTTCTCACCGACGCCACCTCCTTATTTTTCTCCATCATCGCTTTGATTTTCTGAGTGGATTTAGGTTCATGCTCCACCAGGGGTCTGTAGATCATGGTGTCAGGTCGCTAAAGTGTCTGTGTGTGTGTGTGTCTGTGTGTGTGTGTCTGTGTGTGTGTAGCCGACAGCTGCAGAAGATTTTTCTCACCTTCCTCCGGAGCAGAGGAAGAAAAGGCTGCAGGGGAAAATCGAGGAGATCTCCAAGGAGCTGCAGAAGTCACAGGATGAAAGGTGACAAAGAAAACGACAGACACACACTGACCCCTGACCCCCTGACCCTCTGACCCTCAGCCAGAAGGTCAGGGGTTCATTCATGAACTCATGTGTCTAATTTTACTTCAAAGTCTGTGAAATGTTCATGTTTCATAAATGTTGGTGCTGGTCAGTGTAGATGACCAGAAGTTGAGCGACAGCATCACTGACCAGGATCATTGACCTATGACCCTGCTGTCTCACGTCCATGTTGAGTGTTGGGGGCGCTGTAGCTAATCCACTGTCAGTTCAGCGTCATCAACAAAACACATTCTGAGACAGCTGTGTGCTGGGGTGTAATTGAAGTAGAAGGCCACTAGGAGGTGCTGAACGAGCCTGCCTTCAGTTCCTGTCTCTGCAGAGGTTGAACTGTGAGCAGTTTTCATTGGATCCAGTTCCACTGTGGAGTTCCTGAAGAATACATCTACAGAACCTCAGCAGAGTACCACCAGGGTACCACCAGGGGGAGATGTAGTCAGTGTCCACGACACTAATGTATTTCTGTGGCATTTGACCTCAGTGAGGCGCTGGAGAAGATGAAGGGAGTGTACGAGCAGGACTCCCAGTTAGGAGACCCGGCCAGTCTGGAGCCGCAGATCACAGAGACCGCCCAGAACATCGGCCGCCTGAAGGGGGAGCTAGCCAAATACGAGGTACACCACCAGTACATACAGTGTATATAATACGAGAACAGCTGATGTACGTATATTATAGACGTGTTTTTCTGACTACAGTCGTGGCTGTCAGAGGCCGTGGGGGGGGAGGAAACCTCCAACACCATCAACAACAACAACAGTCAACACAGGTGAGGCCTGGAGATGAAGGTGTTGTCTACGCCTGTGAGTCACCGCGGGCAGGAAGTTGACTTTTTAGTCCTGACATCCATCTGTGAAAGTTGTTTATTCTAACGTCCTGATTCCTGACCATGTTTGTTGTTTGTTGTTGTTTGTTGTTGTTGTTGTTGGTTGTTGTTTGTTTGTTGTTTGTTTGTTGTTGTTGTTTGTGGTTGTTTGTTGTTGTTGTTTGTTGTGGTTGTTTGTTGTTGTTGTTGTTTGTTGTTGTTTTTTGTTTTTGTTGTTGTTTGTTGTTGTTTGTTGTTTTTTGTTGTTTTTGTTTGTTGTTGTTGTTGTTTGTTGTTGTTGTTGTTGGTTGTTGTTTGTTTGTTGTTTGTTTGTTGTTGTTGTTTGTGGTTGTTTGTTGTTGTTGTTTGTTGTAGTGGTTGTTTGTTGTTGTTTGTTGTTGTTGTTGTTGTGGTTGTTTGTTGTTGTTTGTTTGTTTGTTTGTTGTTGTTTGTTGTTGTTGTTGTTGGTTGTTGTTTGTTTGTTGTTTGTTTGTTGTTGTTGTTTGTGGTTGTTTGTTGTTGTTGTTTGTTGTGGTTGTTTGTTGTTGTTTGTTTGTTTGTTGTTGTTGTTTGTTGTTGTTTCCCAGTATCTCCAGTGGAGCTGCTAACCCGACCCAGAACATCTACACAGACTTTGATGATGACTTTGAGGATGTAGAGACTCCTATTGGCCAGTGCACGGCGCTGTACACCTTTGAAGGTTGGTGTCAACGTGGACAGACGTTTGAATGTGTTTACCTTTGAATTCAGAATGATAAACTGTGTGGACCTGGTCATGTGACCTACTGCTAATTTACTGTCGTTCTGTTGTTTTATTATCACGTTTGGTCCACTCTCTTACGTGTGTGTGTGTGTGTGTGTGTGTGTGCAGGCAACAGCGAGGGCACCATCTCCATCACAGAGGGAGAGCTGCTGAGTGTGATGGAGGAAGACAAAGGAGACGGATGGATGAGAGTTCTCAAAGCCGGTGGAGAGGAGGGATATATACCGTCCTCCTACGTCAAACACTCCTCATAAACACACACACACACACACACACACACACTGTTTGTACAGAATCCCATCATATGATTCGTGGAGGCAGGCTGCAGGAGAACACACACTCCCTGTCTGTGGTCAGTGCAGCAGCAGGCTCTGGTCACAGACGGCCTCTCTGCTCCTTCAGACCAAACTCTTGAATGTTTCTCTGAACTTTGGACGTCTCAACAGTAGGTGGCGACTTTTCCAACATATTCTTCATCTGGGTAGCCTCACTCTTTTCTATTTTTCATCAGCGTCTCCGCCCACTTCATTCACCTGCTGAGCCTCAGCTGCAGTACCAGCCTCCACCACCGACATGAAAATGTGATTTTATATCTGTGTTTTAACTGGATGGAAACCACTACGATATGGAACGTGCACTTCATACATGATCTGTCAGTTGACTGTCAGTGGTTGATGTTTGAATCTTTTAATATTTAACTCATTAACTCACCCATTTTACATTAGACTGGTTATAGATTGTTTTTTCTTGAATTATGGGGGGGGGGTGTTTATGTTGGAGGGAGTGGACTGTGTTTGACCTGCCGTCTCATCAAGGATGAGGTTTCTGTGATAGAAGAGTCAGACTTTAACACTTTTGTTCTGAATTCATCCCGTGCTTCGTGCTGCAGGTGGAGACGAGGGTGGAGCTGTGTTGAAGTGTCTGTGATGATGTTTGACTCCACAGGTTCAACCTGTTCCTCTGTTGGTTCACAGTAAACCACGTACAAATCACAGACGGGTTCTAGACAGTTCCTTTGTTTACGCTGCAGGGGTGTGTGTGTGTGTGTGTGTGTGTTAGTCCTCTTCTTCAACATAGGGTCCTCAACCCCATGGATGGTCCACCCAGGTACTGCAGGGGTCTGAATTATTATTTTTTAGTCTGTCATCTGTTGCTCAAATACTGAGATGAAAATATAAATTTATTATTTCTTGAAAAACAAAAAGCACTTTCTCATTAACACGAAGAGAATATTTACAACATCAGAAATTCAACAGTCAACGTCTGCACACAGTAAACGTTCACATCCTCTGACCAAAGAAAGGAAGAAAACATCTTTTTTTTTATCCAGGGTCAAATCTGTGTTTTCTACGACAGTTAGCAAACCAAAAACATCAGGTCAAAAGGTCGTTCTCGTGCGGTGTGACCTCCACGGGTTCCAGTTTATCGGAGAGGACACAAAGGATCTTGTCAAACTTCTCGTAGCGCTCGTTTCTGCTGGCCGTGGCGCCGGCGTGACCCCAGAGCAGCCGCAGAGCGAACTCCGTCCTGCAGGCCTCCAGCAGCTCGGGGACGGGCTCCCAGCCTCCTGGAGGAGCAGCGTGACAGAGGTGTGGTTAGATCAGAGTTACTACAGCCAGTCTGACACTGGGTCGTACTGTTGGAGGACGGGCCGTCGGACAGACACCGAGAGTTTAACTCTTTATTCACCTCTCACTAATCCCTGGTTATCTGTGACACTCCTGCTCCGTGTGAGAGCATTTATTCACACACACACACACACGTGAATTAAAGGAGCGGGAGGAGAGCATTTATTCACACACACACACACGTGAATTAAAAGAGCAGGAGAGGACGGTAGGACGGTAGGACAGATCAGATCAGATCAGTTTCTCAGCCGTCGTTCAGAGGATTTAAAGGATGACGTTAATGTTTCTACTTTATGTTTTTAATGTTAGAAAATCCCTTCAGTTTGGTTTAAACTGCTTAAAGGAGAAGTTCCCGTCATGTGTGTGTGTTGTTGTGCAGGAGTGGATGTTGGTCTGTGGTCACCTGACAGCAGACTGTGGGCGTGGCTCTGGTAGTCTTCGGCGTGCACTGCGATGCTGCGAGCTGATTGGAGGAGGTCGTAGAGAAGCTGACAGCCCCTGTCGCTGTTCTCCACTGGGTCCTCGCCCTCCATCAGCATCAGCAGAGGGATCAGATGTGGCACGGCGACCGGGCCCTGGACCACCGACTCTGTGGAGGAACAGGAACTCGTCAAATCACAGTCCCGGGCTGAGCCTCCAGTGTGGGCTGTGAGCACGACAGTGAACGGCCACGACTCACCGTCGCCCTCGTTCAGCGAGTTCATGAAGGGCTTCAGCTTCTTCTCATATAAAACGGCACTCTCGGTGTGGTTCCTCCTCAGCGCTCGCCACGTCATCTGCAGCCGCACCACCTGCAGAAAAGCCCAAAGACAATGGAGTCAGTCGATCGTTAAAAGTGACTGACATGTGATCAGAGTCCTGCGCCGACACGACGTCACCTGAGACATGTCCAGAGCCTTCATGACGGCTGAGAAGGAGTAAAGGTCGTGGGCGTGGTCTTTCAGGGCCTGAGCCAATAAGATGAATTTATGTAAAACAGTTGCTCTTTGGCTCACAGTTCCCGTGCAGCCCAGGACGTCCACTGCCACTCCCAGTGCTAGTAGATGATGCCTTCAAACAATCAAACCAAACACAACTCATGTTTTTTCAACAGAAATACAACTAGTAAATAAACTGAGGTCTCTATTTTCAAACCTTTCTAACAAATCTTGTCGTAGTTGGTGTCCATGTGGCAACGTGACAAGCTCCAGTCCTGACCCAACTCCCATGAGCCTCTTCTGCTCTTCTGACACACCCACCACACGTGCAACCTGCAATCACATGGCAGGAATAGAAGAAAGGTCAGTCAGGTTGGTTTGTTGACTTAGGACTAGGTGAAGGAGGTCGTCGTAGCAGGACCAGCTGACACGTGTGGACCCAGCACCGGCCTCAGGGCCTGTATGAAAACATTTAACGGCCTCTTTATGGGACACTAACCCTCAGAGTGCACGTGTGAAGGTTGACCACGTACCTGGCAGTCCACACTGAGCACGTGCAGAGCTGTAGTGTTGGCATCCGAGCGGTTAAAGAGCTCCTTGAGGGCCAGCAGGATGCTGGGATCCAGAGGTCTGTTGTTCTCTGGTAAAAGCAGTGACTCAAACTGGTCCAACTGGAAACAGGACCCTGACTCCACCTGTCACAGTTCAAGGGTTTTTAAAAACTGGGAGATGATAAAAACACACGTTGTCCTTGTTTTACCATAATATGTTTGTTCTAGTTTATATTCCAGCCCCTGGACCAGTAAAGAAGGAAACGAAACCATCGTCATAAGAACACACACACACAACACACAAGGCATCAATAATACAAACATGTGGCCTTTGAAACTGCCAGTCCTCCCCCGTCTCCCCCGTCCCCCCCCCCTCCCCCCCCCCCCTCCCCTCCCCTCCTTGCCCCTGTCTCCTTCCTCTCTGCTGGGTTTAGGAGCCGTAGCCTCCATCACTGCGTATTGGCTGATGAGTCGACCTCGACCCATGCTTCCTCCCTGTGATCTAGGAGCCCAGTCTGTGGCTGTAAATGTGGGTGGACCATGGCCC